AAAGATGAAAAAGATATGATTCTTGCCTACAAAGAGCTTAGGAATTTCGTGGGAAGACAGACATGCAAACAATTAAAAGAATTATCTAATGGAGGAGTATGCATGGTAAACTGGGGTAAGTGCAGCAGGAGTAAAATCTCTGAAGCCTGTTTGGGAAGTCAGAGAATATCACCAAAGAGCTGAAACTTGAAAGACAACTAGAAGACTGCTAGAGAGATAAGCAGAGGCTGGGCACTCTCAGGAAAAAGAGCAGTAGATACAGAACCATGAAGGAGCCCAGTTATGTTCAGACAACTGCCAAGTATTTTAGTATTGCTAAAGTGAAGAGTGAGGCCCCACTGGAGAGGTACTGTTAAGGACTGAATTATATCCCCCCCAAAATATGTGCTGTAAATTCTACTATACCTGTGGTTATAATCCCACTTGGGATTAGAGTTTTCTTTTTTACGTTAATGAGGCAGTATTAGTGTAAAGTGTGTCTTAAATCAATCTCTTTTGAGATTTAAAAGAGCAAATTAAGAAAGCAGCAAACAAGCACTGGTAAGGGAAGACAGATGCCATGCTACATGAGATCTCCAAGGAAGCAAGAAACAGAAGCTGAAAAGAGACAAGGACCTTCCCCTAGAGCCAACAGAGAGAGAAAGCCTTCCCCTAGAGCCAGCACCCTGAGTTTGCACTTCCAGCCTCCTAAACTGTGAGAAAATAAATGTTTGTTAAAGCCACCCACTTGTGATATTTCTGTTATAGCAAGACTAGATAACTAAGACAGGCATGAACCTGGGGGCCAGAATCCTGGTAAGGAAAATATTGTCATCGTTCAGGTGAGATATAATAAGGGTCTGAACTAGCATTGTGGGAACAGTGATGGAGACATGGGAATGGATGAAGAAATATTTAGAAAGTAGAATCAACAGGATTTGTCAAAGGATTGATTATAAGGGGCCGGGCAGAACTTTCAGCAATGGTACCACTTGCTAAGACACAGAACACAGAATCAAGAAAATGTTAAGGAAAAGGAATGGGGGAATGGTAGTGGTATATGTGTCTGTGTGGATAGGTTAGAAAAAAGGAGGTCAGTTCAGATATGGACATATTAACTTGGCACTAAGGAGAAAAGTCTGAGTTAGGGCTAATTATTTGGAGGTCGTCGTGACATATGCAGCAGTATGATGCATGGGTAAAATAAGACCATCTGTGGTGGAATCTGGGGGAACTTTGAAGAAGAGGAGCTGTAAATGGAGACTGAGAAGAACTGGTCAGAGAGGTGAGATAGAACCAGAAAAGAAAATGACACAGAAATGAAAAAAGGAAGAGAGTTTTAGTAAAGAAGTCAATAGTGACAAATACCACAAAAAAAGAAGAGCCGATTTTGACAAATAGGCACTGGGAGACTATAGGAGAAGTTGTTTTAGTGAAGTGGTGAATACAGATACCCAACTGCAGTCCAGAAGTCATTAAGCGAATGAGAAAGTCAAACTACTTTGGAAGTGTGCTGGAAAAAGAAAGAGCCATCTCTACAAGACAGTAGGTAGACGGGGAAGCACAACAAGGACAAAGGTTTTTCTTTTTTCTTTCTTTTAAGGGAAAGACTTGAGTATGTTTATATACTATGGAAAAATCAATGTCTAAGCAAAAAGTTTAAAATACAACAAAGAGAGGGAGAAATGGTGGAGCAGGGTTTCTTAAGAGGAGCAAGAGATTGGGGCCAGAGTTAAGTGTTGGATCAATTCAGCTTGAATTGGCAGAGACACCTTTCGTCTGAAGCACTAAGAAAGAAGAAAAGGATAGCTATAGATACAGGGACCTGTGTGGGGATGGGCAGGAAGGGAGTTCATGCGTGAATCTCTACTTCCTCTGTGAACTAGGAAGTAAAATTAGCTGTTGAGAGAGGAGGACTAAGAAGGGGTTACAGGTTGGAGGAGAATAGTGAAGGTATGGCACAGATGTGGAGGGAAAGGAGAGGGGTAAGTGAACCAAACCGACTATGCATAGGTAAGAAAACTGCTGTGTAGTGACGGAAGGTGCAGCTGAATTTGTTTAACATCAATTTATTCTGTAATGCTTTGTGATCTTTCTAGGACAGTGTTTCTTAACCAGGTACAATTTTGGCTCCCTCCTCCCCAACCTACCCCCAAGGGACATTTGGCAATCTCTGGAGATGTCTTTGATTGTCACAACCTTGGGGGGAGTACACTATGGGTATCTAGTAGGTAGATACCAGGGATGCTGCTCAACATTCTACAATACACATAACAGCCTCTGACAACAAAGACTTACTCTGCTCAAAATAATGCTGAGGTTGAGAAACCCTGCTCCAGGAGAATAGGTGGTGGGCAGCTAGATTAAGTCACAACTAGGGTGGAGCAGAAGAATAATTGAACAAGGGGTCATGTGCAGGCAGTACAGTTACTGCAGTCAGCAAAACTGGGTTCAGACTAGAAGAAAATGACAAGGTGTCAGAAGCTGATACGAAGCACTTAGAAAACTAAAAAGTCAAGGAGCTATGGAGGTAGTAACAATGAAGGTAAAGAGTGGTCAGGTGTAAGGGGGTAAAAGAACTGGAAGTACACAGAGAGATCGAGCTATCAGAGTTTAAGACTTCAGAGGTGGAGCAGTTCTGGGGGGATTATGATTCAAGGAGGGACCTGAAAGGTGGGTCACTGAGCTGGGGTAGAAAGGAATTAAAAGAGCATATTTTTATGAAATACCTTCTTGTGACACAAGGTGGCATTTCCAGATCTTCTCTCATTAACGAACAAAATTAATCAGAGTCCTAAAAGGGCATGTATCATCTCTTTCTTACCTGTCCCTCACAAGCTTCTTTATATAGTTCCAATTTCTTCAACAGGTCCTCATTTTCTGTCTCACACTCAGCCATCTTCTTTTGAAAATATTCCAGAAGCTCCTGAGAAGGGCAGAGGACGGCCAGACGGTCTTCAATGGAAGGCAACGGAGTTGACTCCACCGAATCTGTGAAAGACACTCCCCTCCACCTGGTGGAACCACTGAACCTGGAGGGAACACTGTGTTTGCAGACAGTTGTTAGTCTATGTGAATTTAGAAAGGGTGCATTCGTTGAAGTGTCTGAACATTTATGAGACATTAAAATGTTTTAATAAAAAGGAGGTTTATGTTCTTAAAGTGCTTATAATTAAGGTATGCACAGCTCTTGAAAGTTTTATGCTACAGGCTAGTGAATAATCTTATGAACCACCTTCCAAGTATTAATGGCTTAAAACTGGATTTAAAATACATATTAGAGACTAAAAATAGAAGCTAAACTAGGTAAGATGAGATAGCAAAAATTAGAAAATTTAATACTAAGACACACAGCAATTGGAGTGCTTATATGCTGGTGGCATGTTAATCGGTAAAACCACAGACAGCAAATTGGCAGAATCTAGTAAAACTGCAATTCCTCTTGTCCTAGACAAATTCATGCACAAGGTGACACATAGGAAAATGTTCACAGTGTTTTATCATTACATTGGTTATAATAACAACAGTAAACAACCCAAATGTCCATCTAATAGGATAATGGATAAACTGTGGCATATTCATACCCTGGAATACTATTCAAAGTTATTAGAAGCTATGAACTAGAGATACAAGCATGAATATGAACAGACCATACAAACAATGTGAAATGGAAACATGTATGTGGATGCATACATAGCAAATACTACCATTTATTTAAGATCAAAACTTGCAAAATGAAAGTTTATTTTTAGTAATAGATAACATAACTAGTAAAATGATTAAGGAAGAGAACAATAAATATAAAAATCAGGATTAGAAAATAGTTAGCACCCACAGTTGTCTCTAAGGATCTGTTGTTGTTAGGTGCTGTCAATTCTGACTCATAGAGACCCTATAGGACAGAGTAGAACTGTCCCATGGGGTTTTCAAGGAGTGGCTGGTGGATTTGAGCTGCCAACCTTTTGGTTAGCAGCCAAGCTCTTAACCACTACACCAAATTCCACATCCTAGGACTAGATGTTATAAATGGCAAAAGACTTTGATCAAAGGCTGGACAAGAAGTTTTTGTTTTTAGCAAACAAAAGACTTAAACTAAAAAATGAGTTAGAAAACAAATGATGCAGAAGTGAAGAAACCATCAGGTGAAAATTAATCCAGTTTGGTTAACTGCATGCAATTTACAACATAACAAAAAGTAGCCTGGAGAAACTTTATCTCACTAGCCCACAGTTACAGTTACAATGGTTAGCCGTCAGCAGTTTTAGTGAGCATGTAGAGAACAGATTTAAAAACGTACTCTTAGCTAACATAAAGGGGGAAAAAAAAAACCTAACATTTTCTCACTCATCAAAAGCTTGTGACAGAAATACTATTTTACTTCATGTTTTATGTTTTCAATTTTAACAATCCTGGTGAACAGGTTAATATTAAGAGATATTTCAGGTATTTTACAGACAGGAGCTGTGGCAATGAGATGAAGATGACACGTTATGCAGCAAGCTGATGGCAGAATCAGAATTAAGTCTCCTGTGTTTGTGCAGTCATTATTCCTCTGAAGTCCAGTATCCACTGGCACTGTGCTAGGCCCATTCAGACTGCCAAAATCCTGGTATTACCATTTAACAGGCAATGTTTTTTAATCCAAATTCTGCAGTAAGAATAGAGAAATGATGTCTAATACAGTTTAAATCAAGATTTAGGAAACAGGTTTCTAAGACCCTTTCAGCTGTTCTGCTAACTTTGGACTAAGGCTTCATTCAGAAGTCTTGATTCCCTACTTTAACAACTCAAAACTAAGCAAATGTCTTACTTTCTGGAAACAGGGGTGTGTGTCGGGGTAAAGTTCATGCTGTCTTTTTCACACCTGTCAAATACACAAAAATTCAGAATGAGGGGTTAGGAATAGAAAAAAAACCAAAACATCATACATCATAGTATGTACGTACAGACAGACTGGTTCCTTATTCAACATCGTATTTCCCTGGCTTGTAAGAAAGTGATGTTTTAAAATGTAGTATTCTTTAGTTTCAAATTCTGAAATTCCATGCTTTTTGAATCTTCATAAGGCACTCTTCCTCATTGTTATGATTACATAAAATCAGAAAGGCATTGAATATTTGGATGAATAAGCAAATCCAGGAAGAAAAGCCTCCTTAGTATGTTAACTGCAACAATGCAGATCAAATTTAGTCTTTTCACTGAAACTGTAAGAGTGAGATTCAGAAGTTTCTAATAAGCAAGTAACGTTGTTAGGTGCCATCGAGTCAATTTTTGACTCATAGTGACCCCATGCGACAGAGCAGAACTGCCCCATAAGGTTTTCTAGGTTGTAATCATTATGGGAGCAGATCACCAAGTCTTTCTCCCGTGGAGACACTGGGTAGGTTGGAATTGCCAACATTTGGTTAGCAGCCGAGTACTTAATCGTTGCGCCCCCAGGGCATGAGATCACTGAGTCAGAATCATGTATTTACCCACTGTGACAAATCTAAGATAAATAAAAAGCCAATGGTATTCTTGGTGTGCTGTCTTTATAGTCTTTAGCAAAAGAAAAAACAAATACAAGCTTTAAAAGGTTCATTCACAATCTCCTGGCCAATTGATTAACATAAAATATTTAATTCTTCTACTTTGAAGAATCGTATCACTGAAATTTTCAGGAGGATAAACCTCACAGTTGGGGAAGGGATACCATGTTATCAGAAAGAGGGGGTAGTTTACTAGCTTTGGTGAACACTTTCTTATGAAGCACGCTTTGTCAATCCATTCTGACTTTGAACGTGTCAAGAGATACAATATAATGTCCTGTTCTTGTGTTTATCTACCTGGTAGATATCTAACAATCTTCAGTCCTTTGGGAAAGAATTTTGTGAAAAAGAGTGAAAAGAGATAACCACCACTGTTAATGTCATATACCATTTTCCTGCTCAGCACTGTGTAGCGAAATCTTTCATTTGGCTTCCAAGATACCACATGTTCCTGGTTTTCTTCCTTCCTCACTGGTCATTACTTTTCAGTCCTGCTGGTCCTTCCTCATCTTTATCTTCACTCATTGCCTTGGTGATCTCACACAGTCTCATGGTTTCAAATACCACGCAGACACTAAAGTTTTTCAAATGTATAACTCCAGCTCTGATTCTGCCTTCCACCCCAGACTCATATACCTGACTGCCTACTCACTATCTCCACCTGGATGTCTAACAGTGTCTCAAACTTAACAAATTCAAAACTGAGCTCCTGATACACCTCCCACCACCAAAACCTGCTCTTCTCTCAGAACTCTACATCCCAGTAATTACTAATTCTACCCAGCCAGGTAGCTGCTTAGGACCAAAAAAAAAATTGGTTTGAGAAATTTGTACTTCTGTCTGACTACATTGAATCCATTAGCAAATCCTGTTGGCTCTACCATCAAAATATTTAGAATCTGACAACTTTCATCACCTATGCCATTACTGTCCTGGTCCAATCCACTATTTCATCTCTTGCCTGATGACTACAATAACCTTTTAACTGGTCTCCTGCTTCTACCCTTAACTCCAACTCCTACAGTCTTTTCTCAACACAGCAGATATAGTGATTCCTTACAAATTAAAATAGGAAACTCCTGTGCTCAGAGAGTCAGTCTTTACATACATTGGCCTATGAGGTCCTATGTGACCTACTCACTCAATTACCTCTGGGACATCTACTGCTCTCTCCCTTGCTCACTGCTCCAAAAACACTGACCTTCTTGCTGTTCCTCAAACATACCAGACCAACTTTTACTTCAGGGCCAATGTACTTGCACTTCTCTTTGCCTGTCACGCTCTTTCCCCATTTATCTACGTGGCTTGCTCCCTCTCCTCCTTCAGGGCTCCAGTGTCATTTTCTTGGTGAGGTTTTCCCTCACCCCTCTGGCATTCCGTTATCTACCTTCTCAGTTTTACTTTTCCCCTGCCATCTGACCTACTATTCATCCTATTTATTTATTGTGTTTCCACACATACAAAAAACCAAACCTGCTGCCATAGAGTCAACTGCAACTCATAGCGACCCTAAAGGACAGAGCAGAACTGCCCCATAAGGTTTCCAAGGAGCGCCTGGTGGATTCGAACTGCTGACCTTTTGGTTAGCAGCTGTAGCTCTTAACCACTATGCCACCAGGGTTTCCTTTCCACACAAGGGAATGTGAAAACTCACTAAGGGCAGGGATTTTTATCTGTTGTGTTCACTGTTGTAGCCTCAGTGTCTAAAATAGTGCCTAGCTCATAGTAGGTGTTTAATAAATATTTACTGGAAAAAAATTTTAAAACTATCAGTATGAATTTGAAAGACTCTGTTATTTAAATATTCTTTTCTTCTACTAATCAGTCTATCCAAACTAGCTAGAAAATTTGTTTCTGATTCTCCTATCCATTTGCTTTCTCCCATAACCAACCCTTCAAATATGCCATCTCTCTTTTTCTGGTGTGGCCTCCCTAATTCTTCCCCTTAAAATGATTATGTACTCTTCTCCTTCAGACTCACCTCTTTCCACAAAGCTTCTTCAAATTGGGTCAATTTGCCTCTTGTCAAAAAGAACCTAGAAAATAAAAATGGTTATTGGTTGGTATGATAGGATTATGGGTGACAGCTTAAAAAATAAATTCTATCATTCTAAAACAATTTAAAGGAGCCCTGGTGGTGCAACTGTTAAGCACTCAGTTGCTAACCGAAAGGTTGGCAGTTTGAACTTACCCAGAGGCTACACAGAAGAAAGACCTGGCAATCGGCTTCTGTAAAGATTAACTACAAAAAAACCCATTGCCATCCAGTCGATTCAGACTCATAGCGACCCTATAGGACAGAGCAGAACTGCCCCATAGGGTTTCAAAAGAGTGGCTGTTGGATTCCAACTGCTGACCTTTTGGTTAGCAGCTGAGCACTTAACCACTGTGCCACCAGGGCTCCCCATAAAGATTACAGCCTAGGAAACTCTACGGAGCAATTCTACCCTGTCACATGGGGTCATCATGAGTCAGGATTGACTCGATGGCACCTAACAATACCAACAATAAAACTATTTAACAGTACCTTGGAACTTTAAAAGAGCCTTTGAACAACCTGCAAGCTCTCTTCTTCCTCAAAGCAACTGTCCTCACTCCTCCTTCCAACGACCAGTGCACATCTAAAAAAGCTGTCTACACTCACATCTCCTTCAGTTTCATTATCCCTAACAGTCTGGCTTCTACTATGACAGCTGAACTGAAGTTGCTCTTCTTGGTCAGCAGGTATCCAAATTAATAAATGCAAACTGCTCTTCTAGGTTCCCACTCTCCTTCATTCAACAAGTCATTCCTTGACTTGGATGCTTAATTTGATAGTGTCAAATATTCGTTTTTAAAAAATGTTGCTTTATAGTTGAGAGACCGGTCTCTGAAATCAAACAGACCTGGGTTTGAGTCAAAGCTTTGTCCGTTACTAGCTGTGTGAACTCAGGCAAGTTATTTAACCTCTCTCAACTTCAGCTGCTTATTAGCAAATGAGTAATAATATATATGGCATTAGAATAATAGTAAATGTGTCATAGGTTGTTGTAAGGATCAAATGAAATAATAACTACAAGGGCTGAGCACAGTGTCTGACAATCATTCAGTCAATATGCAAGCTATTATTACTACTGATAAAATTTACTCCTTTGGTTCAAAAGGTTCTGTCTTCAACTTTGTTTACCGCTTCTTTATCCATTCCTTTGGGAACATCATATTCCCACGGCTTTTATAATTACGTCTATCATCTAAAACTACTTGGCACAGAGTTTAACTCCTTAACAACTGCTTGTTGAATGGATAAATGATATCTCTTCCAATCTCTTGGTGTGAATTTCCAACTACATATCAGACGTTTTTACCTCTATGTCCCCATTGGAGCTTCAGACGTCTAACTTAAAAAAAAAAAAAAAGTCACTCAAGTAACACATGATTTTTTTTTTGCTCCTCAAATCTAACATTTGCCAAACCTAACACATCATCTTTTTCACCCAAGCGTGCTCCTTTGACTTTCCTATTTTAGTTACTAATTCTCCATCTGAGCAACCTGGGCTTGAAAATCTGAATTCGTCATTTGATTACTCCCTCTCTTGACCCTCCCATCCAATCATATGAAAATCCTGTATATTCTACCTCTGCAATGACCATGTTAATGCAGGATCTCAATACTTGTTACCCAAACAACTATGACAGCTTAACTTTTCTACCCATCCCTTATCTCCCCTGGACTATCTTCATAAAATCATAAAATTCATCAGTGGTTCCTCATAGTCTAATGCATTACATCAAAGCCTAGAACTCATTGCCTTCTATTCAAGGACCAAACCTCTCTCTCCTGCCTTATTTCCCTCTACACTCCTAAAAATACCCTTTGTTTCCATTTAAGTTTCTTGCATCCATGTCTTTGTTCAGGAGCTTCCCTCCAGCTGAAACATAAACAAACAACAACAAGCAAAAAAACCACTTTGCTTTCAAGTCAATTCCGACTCATAGTGACCCTACAGGACAGAGTAGAACTGCCTGTTAGGGTTTCCAAGAAGCGGCTGGTGGATTTGAACTGCTGACTTTTTGGTTATCAGCCGAGCTTTATAACCACTGTGCCACCAGGGCTTAAATACTACCGCCTTCGTCTTTTTTCCTGAGCCACTCCGTCCAAAATGATCTATTAAAATGATCTAACTGCGAAAGAACTGCATTTGTAATTCTCTAAAAGACAGTTAACATATTAGAGTTCTTTGTTGCTATCATTTCTCTCATTATAGTGTATGTTCCTTGCAGATCGAAACTGTCTTACTGTATCTTGCAAAGGGCCAAGCACAATGCCCTTGTTTTAAAGACAAATAAATGGGTTTCAGCTAATTTCTATTCCTCCCTCCTATGGCATCCTTGTTTAGGTACATTCTTTTATAGCTGGTCTACTTACAATTGACATTTGTTCAGCACTTCGGTATTTATTTGTCCCCACAACTCCGTGAATCTTTTTTTTTTAATCCCTTATTTTACAAATGAGGAAACTGAGGCTTAGACTAGCATGAGTTTAGGGAATAGCGGAAGCCAGCCCCAGGACGTCCAAATCATGTACTGCTTCTTCCACTTCACCTCGTTCTTGGCTCCCTCATTGCTATAGCCCCTCTAGTCCTCTGGCACCGCCGAGGTCTTCTCTTCGCAGATTCTAACTTTCCTCTTCTGGTCTCCAGCTTCTCTAACAACCCCCATGGTTCAGGCTCACATCCCTCTCTTCCGCATTGCTTCCACAGTTTCTTCTTCCTCACCAGGTTTTCTTCTTAAGGCCCCACACCCTTCCGCCAGAAACCCAAAACTCCATACTCACGCCACACCAAGCCTCGGAGTCAGAGAAGCCAACCGAAAAACAAAAGTTAAATCAGGGAGCGTCGAGGCGCCACCGAGTGTCCACAAATCCGTCCAATCGCCCACGAGGTTACAGGGCCCTATGGACTGCTCACCAATAAGAAGGCTATTCACACAGAGGCTCGCCCCTCGAGTTGCCGCGCAGAGGTCGCCGGGAAGTGTAGTTTTTCTTTTGTACACAGCTCTCCGGCGGAGGGTTGTAACCGAAATTCTCCGCCCACCGGTAGTGAGATGTTTGTGGTCAGAACGCACTAGTTCTAGATACTCTTTTAAGCTTGCTCAACTACTTTGTTTTTATGAAAAACGTTGCAGAAATGCGATGCGTAAGCATGGAATGGATCACAAGAGCACTTTAGCGTTGTATGGTACATACTATTATATGGTGTTACAAACGTGTCTCAAGATGGTTAAGATTCTTAAAAAAAAAAAGTCTCTTCTTCAATGACATGGTGGCCTAGAACTGGAGAAAGATCTGGGGTTCAATTAAATCCTATACACAAACACTTTCGGGATATTTCTGTTTCAGTTTGTTTTGTGGTTTTGTGTTTTGTTTTTTAATACTGTATAATGATATGTATCAACATTGGGAAGATCTGTATAACTCAGTGAACCACTACTTTCCAAATGACCAATGCATGGTGCTACAAAATCATGAATGGGTAAAAAATCCATTCAAGGACAAGGTTGACTACCATCTTAATGTAACAGAGTAGAAAAATTAATTCAGATACTTTTAGATTCCACATTGCTATCATTTAAGAAACTACAATTATCTGAAAAGGCTAGTAAAATACTTCTCCCTTTTTCCATCAACATATTTGCGATGCTGGATTTTCTCCATATATTTCAACAAAAACAACATATCCCAAGAGATTGAATGCAGAAGCAGATATGAGAACCCAACTCCATCCTACTAAGCCAAATGTTAATTTTAAAAAATGTAAACCAATGCTACTCTTCTCACTAAATTTTCAGTCTTGGAAAATATAATTATTCATAAAATATGCTATATTAACATGTAATGGATTTATTATTTTTAAATGAATAAATATTTTAAATATTTCTTAGTTTTAATTTCTAATATGGTAAACATCAATACATGTAATTCACATAAACAGGAGTTTTTTGGGGTTCTCAATAATTTTTAACACTGTAAATGGCCTGAGACCAAAAGATTTGCAAGCCACTGTTAAAAACTTTCCTTGAAATAAAATGGCATTTCTTTTTTTTTTAATTTTTAATTAATTAATTTTTTATTGTACTTCAGGTGAAGGCTTACAGAACAAATAGTTTCTCATGAAACAGAAGTACACATGTTGTTTTATGACATTGGTTAACAACCCCAGAACATATCAACCCTCTAACTTCTCAACCTTTTTTTTTTTTGGTGAAAATACACATAGCCAAAGATACACCATAAAATGGCATTTCTTTTAAAAAATTCATTTGGCTTTTCACTGTCTGTAACTAGCTGTCCCTCAATTAACCTGAATTTGTGAGGGTTTTTTTGTGCGTGTGCTTTAGGTGAAAGTTTACAGCTCAAGTTATTTCTCATTGAAAAGTTTATACACACATTGTTTTGTGACATTGGCTGCAATCCCCACAATGTGACAGCATGCTCTCCTGGGTTCCCTGTGTTCATTCATCCAGTCCCTATCCCTTCCTGCCTTTGGACAGGAGATGCCCATTTGGTCTCGTATATTTGATTGAACCAAGAAGCACATTCCTCACAGGTATTTTTTGTTTTGTAGGCCTGTTTAATCTTTGTCTGAAAAGTGGGCTTTGGGAATGGTTTCAGTTCTGGGTTAACAGAGCGTCCAGGGCCCATAGTTTCAGGGGTTCCTCCAGTCTCTGTCAGGCCATTAAGTCTGGTCTTTTTACGTAAATTTGAATTCTGTTCTACTGAATTTGTGTGGTTTTATTGCATATTAAAAGACTTGGAGACCACAGCCTAGTTAAATGACTATCAGAGTTAGGTATTCATCTCCTTCTATTTTAGCACTTATGCTCTAATATTATTTAATTTTTTTCTGAAAAAATTATTCTCAAGGAATGCTTAAATAACGAAAAAAAAAAAAAAAACCTTTAATCTACAGCTATACTCAATTGTCCTGTCCAGAGATTCAAATAGAATTGTGACAGTGAATTTAACATCCCGTGTGCAGAATGCTAACATAGGAGCTGATAAAACACAAGTTTTGGATCTTTATAACAGTGATTCTCAAAGGGGTGGGCAAGGGGATGGGGTGAGGTGTAGGGGGCTGTTTTAGGCTGGGTTCTCTAGAGAAGCAAAACCAGTAAAATGTATAAATACATATAGAGAGATTTATATCAAGGAAACAGCTCACGCGATTGTACAGGCTAGAACGTCCCAAGTCCGTGGATCAGGGTAGAGGCCTCTCCCAAGTCACGCAGCCACAGAAGCTGGCAAGCCCAAGATTGGCAGGTTGGAGAGCAGGGTTCCTGTCTTAGGCTGGGTTCTCTAGAGAAGCAAAACCAGTAAAGCATATAAATATATATAGACAGAGATTTATATCAAGAAATAGCTCATGCAATTGTAAAGGCTAAAATGTCCCAAGTCCACAGATCAGGGTAGAGGCCTCTCCCAGTTCATGTAGCTGCAGAAGCTGGTGAACCCAAGGTCGGCAGGTCAGAGAGGGGCTCCCGCTCGCAGGCTGTGAAGGTCAGTGAATTCCAAGATCAGCAGACAAGACAATCAGGTTTCTCCTGATTCACATAGCAGCAGGGGCTGGCGAACCCAAGGTCGGCAGTTTGGGGAACCAGACTCTTGCTTGAAGGCTGAGAAGTTCGATGAATTCTGAGATCAACAGGTAAGCTGCTAGCTCAAGTCCCACGAACCAGAGGTGAGACAACAAGAGGCAGCTGCTGAGTCTGGAACAAGCCAAAACCTTGGCAAGGCCAGCAGGCAGAAGGTAACCGGTGGAAGGCAGAGAGAGGAAACTGAGAGGGCAGTGAGCTGCCACAGGCCCCGCCTCCACCAGTACCACTCAGCAGATTCCATCATGGGGGTGATCACAACATTATACAACTACTAAAACACTGAGAATAATGGTCTAGCCAAGTTGACATACAATCTTAACCATCACAGCTCCCACTCACAGGCTGTGCAGATTGACAAATCCCAGGTTCAGCAGATAAGCTGACAGCTCAAGTCCCAAGAACTGGAGATGAGATGACAGGAGGCAGCTGCAGGATCCAGAGAGGGCAAAAAGCCAGAATGTCTGCTTATATTCAGATGCAGGACACACCCCCAAGGAGACTCCCTTTCATCTGATTGGCTACTCACAGTATATTCAATCATGGGAGTGATTACATTAAAACACTGAGAATCATGGCCCAGCCAAGTTGACATACAATCTTAACCATCACAGGGGCTCACTTACTCTCCAGATTTATTCCTCACCTGCTCTCTCAGAAACTGAGGTGGATGAGACTGGAGAAGTTTTTTTCCATCCCCACCAGAGTTTGATTTACCACCCTTCTCTTTCAGACTCATTGCTAAAGTAAGCAACTGCTATAGATTTCTCAGGAGTATTGAGGCAGATTAACATGATTGAGAACCATTACTCTATGATTTTATATTCCACTAGGGAGACAGTTTAAAATAAAAGGTAAGTATAACTTGAAAGAATAACAGGAAATAATAGAGATGATTAACGCTTTTAGGAGTTTGGGCTTATACTGAGTGTCTATCAGGACCTCATTGCTCTAGTAACAATTTTAAAGCAAAACCATTGTAATTTTTTCCTTGTAGTACAAATTTATATAAAAAACATTTGCCATTTCAACCTTTTTTACGTGTACAATTGAGTGACATTGATTATATTCATCATCTTGTACAACCATCACTACTATCCATTTCCAAATTTTTCTGTCACTTTAAACAGAAATTCATATTTTAAATGCCGTCTGCCCATCCTATGGTTCCTGCCGCTCATATTGCTACCCTCTACTTGTGCTGTCTCCAGTGTTACAGCTCTTGACCTGTATTATAGCTATTTTAGGAGGTTACCTCCTCTACTCTCTCATTACTTCTCTCCAAACCTGTCAGATTGACTATTTATATAAGCAAGCTCCTGAACAATTTCCAGGCATGGCCTCCCAGCAGGACCACAAATTGACTAATCCCTGCAAGTCAGTTAATCCTACTGGCTGGTTTTATGCACCCTATTTGCATAATAGATTGACCAATCCCCACAAGGTTCATGAAATATACCAATCACAGGGCATACTGGTACCCAACCAATCATGTTTGGCAGAATTATAAATTCAAGGCCACAAAGGCCATATATAAAGAGAAACCCATTGCATTGTACCAATAGAATATGGAAAAAGTTATCTTGTGCATTGTGGAGTTTAGGCCATAGGCCTAGGCTTCCACTCTTATCCTCCTGTAACCCTGAGACTACCATGTTGTGAAAAAGCCCAGCCTACCCTACTGAGGATGAGAAGCCACGTGGAGAATTGGGGCTTCCCAGCTAACAGCCATCACCAATTGCCAGACATGTGAGCGAGGCCATTTTGAACCCTCCGACTCCAGCCAAGTCAGATGACAGCAACTGTATGAGTTATGCCAGGTGAGATCATGAGAACACCAGGTTGTGAGCCCACAGATTTATGATAATAGTTTTTATTTTTAACCACTAAGTTTTCAGGTGGTTTATTATATAATAAAGGCTAACTGAAACAGAAATATCCCCTGAAAGTTTTGTGTATGGGGTTTAGGCTTGTGGATATGAAGCTATAATCAAATGGAGGGGTATTATATATGTTACACCCTGGTACAGTTTTAAATAAAATTTGGTATATTTAAAAATGTAGGATGAGGCAATGAAACACAGTTTATTGGGTGAATCCATTTATTTACTTATTTATTCATTTAACAGATCTTTATTGCACACCTTCTATGCACCGAGCACTATTCCAGGAGCTGAGGCTACAATGGTCAATAAGATAAACACTGTCTCTACCTTTGTGCAGCTTACAGTCTAATTGGGGAAGAAAGGCAATTAAACAAACAATTTCAAGCAGTTTGATAACGAAGTAGAGGTTGCTACTGACTAAACTAATTTAGAGGACTAGGGAAGGCTTTCCAGAAGAAGTGATATTTCAAGAACAGGGTATATGAAGCTGTGGGGATGAGGCGGGTCAGGGGAGTACAAAAATGTTC